CTGAGCCCCTCACCCTGTCAGGGGTGTTTATACACTGGGGTGGGGGCGGGCGGCCCCGGGGGAGCGGAGAGGGCACAGGAGGGCAACACGCTTGCACGCACAGGGTGCAGGACGAGCGCACGCACAGGGTGCAGGACGAGCCCCCGCACCCTGGCTACCGTCCGGCTGCCTGCGGGAGGACTGGGCTGTTCCCGTCTCCGTGACCACGCCCCTGCCGGGCTGGACCTGCCCAGGTGGTGCTGTTTCTAACACTTGCAGAGATTCTCACGTGCCCTGCAGGCCTGGGGTCCCTAGGCCCTAGGCAGAGTGGGTGGGAAAGACGGCTCAGAGGTGCACGGCCTCGGCCTGAGGGACCGAGGTTCACGAACTCCTCCTCGCCCTCCAGGGCCCGAGCAACTTTTCCCAACCACCTGCCTGCTGGGTGTGGACTGGCGCCTCCAGCCAGGAGCCACCGTGCATGCCTGGTGGGAAGTATCCTCCGGCCCCAGCAATCTGGGCCCCAGGACCTCCCGAGAAGGGCGAGTATGGAGCTCACACCCCAAATCCCCAGGCTGCAGAGGCCCGTGGGCCAATCCTGGCCTGGAGCTCAGGCCACCCTCCAAGACTCTAGCAGGACCTGAGTCGCCCAAGCCACCCCTGTGGGGTCAGTGGCTCCTTCCCCCACAGCCCTGGGCAGGGGGAGCAGGGCAGGGATCAACCTTCACCTTCCTGCATTCTTGTCAATCACTCCAAGCACACAGCCCCCAAGGCGGACTCTGGAGAGAACCTGGGAGACCCGGCACGTAGCCCAGTGTGGCTCTGAGGCTCACTGAGTCCCGTGGGATGGGCGTGCATGCCCCAGGCACTGTGGGCAAGTGACCCCGGGTGCCTGCCTGGCATCCCAGGCTGTGTCTTCCCGGGCCCTCTTTCTTTGGCTCTTCAAGTTCCTTGCCCAGTGCGGGCATGGGGGCCTGGGGCAGACAAGAGCGAGAGCAGGAAATGAAGGACCAGTGGATGGAGCATGCGCCTCTCTCCGCCCCTTCCCTCCCAGCCCAGGGCCTGGCTGGCTGGCAGTGCCCAGGTGTTTCTCATTAAGGGTTTTACTTTGGATTCTCAGGCTCTGGCGGAGGAAGGCTGCAGGCACCCTAATCCTCTGCCCATCCTAGGCGGAGTCAGGTTACCAGGCAGGGGCTGTCCTCTCCCCCGACCCCTGGACTGACTTCCAGCCCCCAGGAGGCCACCCAGCCGCCAGAGGCTGCCCACTGCCCCCGCCTGCCCGACCCATGCACTTCCTGTTAGCAGTGAGCTCGCATTTGTAGCCCCTGCCACTTTCCATGGTGTAAATCTCCACCCTGGCCAACTCCAAACCACCAAGGTGAAGCCACAGAGCCCAGGGTACGGGCAGTGGACCCCTGACCTGGGACGTGGCCTCCTCCTCCGCTGGCTGGCGTCCCTGCAGACCCAGCCTCACTGCTTTGCCACCCCAGCCAGACACTGCAGCGAGCCTTCCTGCAGCCGAGGGCCCTCTCTCGGGTGCCACCTGGCCAGCCCTTGCAGGGTCCCTCGCGAGGCCTCCTTCTCCAGGCAGACTCCCCGACTAACCGAGGGAGGAGCCCTACAGCCCTGCCCCGGGCTTCTCTCTAGTTTGACGACCCATGTGTGGCCTTGCCACGGAACTGAGGGCTTGTTCGGGCCCGGACCTTGTCCCTGTTCATGTCTGGGTCCCAAGCCCTGACCCAGAAGTGACTCAATGATGCACTCGGGTTGTGCTCGGGGTGCAGAGCCCGCGAGGAGCCCCTCAGCAGGCCTGGTGCTTGCTGCTGTCTTGCCATGCTCCCCCCGGAGGGCAAGGTGTGGCTGCCGGCTCCTGGATCTGGGACATTCGGTTAGGTGACACTTGCCTGCTTGCTAGGATGCAAGGTACATCGCTGCCTGGGCCAGAGGGTGGGTGGGAGCCCCCGGGCTTGTGTGCTTGTGACCAGGCTGCCCTGCAGGCACCGCAGCATCATAGGCTGGTGTCGCAGCACCCTGGGACTGCGGCTGGAGGAGCTGCCCCTCGCCTGTCCATGGAGGTCCCATGGCCAGAACCAGCGAGCAGGCTGCATGTAGCCGGGAAATGGCAAAGACCAGGTCTGCAGGTCGGCCTGGGGGCTGCAGGAAGCAACATCTGGGTCTCCATTTGCTCATCTGCAGAACAAGGACAGTGACACCCACCTTTCAGGGTTGGTGTGACCCTAAGAATGTGGCCACTGTTTATGGCGTGTTTGCAAAGTGCACACAGTGAAATGCTCGTTCATGAACATTATTTTTATTTTATGCCCCACAGCCCTGGCTATGAGGTCAGACCTGCTAGCCCCATTTCACAGATGAGGAAACAGGTTCTGAGGAGTTGCCAAGTCAGGCGGATCTCACTCCAAAGCTCCGTGTCCTACCATTCCACTTCCTGTCCCCAAGACAGGGGAGGTATGTGCAGGACCAGGCAAAGGCCAGGCATGTTGATGGCAAAGGCCAGGTGATGGTTATTCGTGATTATCTAGACTCTGCTGGGCAGCAATTAGTGGGAGGCTGCATCTTCTAAAATCTTTCAAAGCCTCATCTGAACCTGAAGGCGGGCAGCAGCGTCATGGGTTCTTGAGTGCAGACTGAGGCCTGGGCAGATGGAAGGTGTTGCCTTGGCCCCTCGGGTCTGGGGGCAGCAGGGCTGGGTCCGGGATGGGCAGCAGGTTGCCTCCCCAGCCTCCACCCCAGCCCCGGGAGAAACTGCCTCATCGTGGGGTGCAGGTGAGGGTGGGTTGGGGAGACAGGGCTGAAAGGGGGCTGCCTGCGGCCCCAAGAGATGGGGCTGAGCGCCCTGGGGCCCTGCTCGGCAAAGGAGTCCCATGAGCCCAGGTCACTGCTGCAGCAGTGCACACCTGAGGGACATCCGCGGTGCCCTGCCACATGCTGGCCGAGTACCCTGTGAGGGAGCCCTGTGAATTATCACGCCAGGAACTTTTCTAAGGGGGTCAAGCAGTAGCCCATCTAGTATGGCAAAACGGCTTCACTAAATCAGAGGAGTAGGTGGCAGTGCACGCCTATAATCCCAGCACTCTGGAGGTTGAGGCAGGAGGATTGCTGTGAGTTCAAGGCCAGCCTGAACTAACAGTGAGACCTTATCTCAAAAAAAAGGGTAAAACAAAAATAGAGGAATAGGTGAATGTTTTATACATCCTTGAGAACCTTAAGGAAAGCAGAACTCTGCCCAGGCACCTCAGCTGGAATTTAGACTGGCCCAGGCGGCTTCTTCGCTGGGATCCTGGGGCCCGGTGTGGCCCCCATTCCTGGCCCTCCGGCTGCAGCTGTGGGTGCAAGGCTTGGTATCACCAAAGCCCCCCACCTGGGTGTCTGTAGGTCACCACCTTGATGGGGGAATGCGGGAGGTGTGAGAAAGCATTTCCTGTCCTGCCACATCCTGCAGGGGGGACTCTGAGGTCCAGGGGGACAGGGCCTTACAGCATGGGTGACCACCTGGGCCCTGTGTTGTCGCTGGTTCAGCGATGACATCCATCACTTCCTGGAGGCAGCAGCAGGCAGGCGCTGTGTCCCACAACACCCTAATGAGTGTCAGGGCTTTGAGCCCACAGCGCCTCCTCTGAGCCACATGCTGTCCGCCGCTCTGAACTCTGGAGGTGACATGTCTCCTGCAACCTTTGCGTTGGAGGCCTGAACCCAGGGGGTGAAGCAGGCCTCCCGCTGGGTGGCCATGTGGGTGCCAGCTGCCCAGGCTCTGTGCTGGGAAGGGCTGTACAGCCTGGAGTTGAAGACGCCAAGCTGGAAGGTCTCTGAAGTTCCGACTGCCCAGAACAGGGCCACCCCAGGCAGCTCTGAGGCTTCCCGAGGGGGACTCTCACGCGCCCCTGGGGCTGCAGGTCTCAGACTCTCCTGCCTGAGGAGGGAGATCGTAATCCTGCCCTGGGGTCAGAGAGCCAGTGGGGGCCGAAATCCTGCTGTGCAGGTGCCCGGCGACCCTGAGGACAGGGCCTGCGCTAGGCCCCTGAGCCCTTCCCAGCTCAGCCAGAGGCTTCGGGTTGGGCCAGGCCGCCCCATGGAAGTCACAGCCAGGCCGTCTGCCTCGGGCCTGGCCCCGCCTCTTAAGCGAGACCTCTCTTAAGAGGTCACTTGCACCCCCAGCGATGTGGACGCTGCTGCCCGACCCCAAGTCATGGTCTGCATTCAGACAAAATGCAAATGTTTTGAGTTTTGCATCTAGAAATAAGTCTAGCCTTACATCTGAGGAGCTTTGGGGTTTTCTCGTTTTCAGTGACTACCAGAAAAGTGTCTATCTGCACATCAAGGAAAATGGTGAAGCAGTATACCCAACTTAGGGAAGCTCGGCGCAGTGTCCACGTGACAGAAGCCAGACACGAAGGGCTGCATGTAAGGGACCCCATCCATGGGCCTCTGGGGCAGGCCACGCTGTGGGGCAGGGAGATCGGCGTGGAAGGGAGACTACGAAGAGCACAGGGCAGTTTGGGGTGATGGCACTGGTCTGTACCAAAGAGTAGCAATGGATACACAATTGTGTGCATCTATCAAAAATTGTACAAGGGCATAGTCCACTCTATATAACATCCACTTTAGTTCTTACACAAGCGTTTCCTTTCCTGTCCCCTCCTCTGGACCCTCACACACGTTTGAGTTGTTGAAGGACATCTCTGGGGAGTCCCCACACTCCTCTGGGCCGGGCTGGTGCCGTGCCCGAGGAGGGAGCTGGGCCCTCATCCCTGCCTGTCACCGGGAACCGGGCCCTGTTCACACCTCCAGCCCTGCATGCTCAGACCAGGGGCGCCACCACCCCTTCTCAGGGCTCTGGGCGGCTCCAGCCTAATGCTGACCCTCGCGGGGCAATGTGTGAGAGGCTGGGACTTCTGAGGCCTTTCCATGGCTTGTGGGACCATCCCTAGGAAGGGGAACCATCCTCTTTCCTGGCTCCCTGCCTCTTCACCTGCCTCGCATACTCAAGGAAGGAAAGAAGTGGCTCCAAATCCCGGGCAGGTGTGTAGCAGAGACAGAGGTGCAGGCCCAGCTTGTGGCTGATCAGCAGGAATCCAAGGGGGTGGCAAGGTGATTTCTGTGAACCAGCAGTGCTGCAGACTCTCGTGCAAGAACTCCAGCCCTGCCAGCCCTGCGCCTTTCCCTGCTGCCTGCGGGATGGACCTTCGACCGCCTTCCCTGGGGCACCGCCTGATCCAGGCCTGGACACGGCCACAGGGCTCCCTGGCCCCTCCCGGCTGACCAGGCCCCAAGCACCCAGGACAGTGAGCAGTTTGGAGACCAGAGCCTGGCGTGCTCACCCCTCAGGGCCATCAGCACACAAGGGGCCCACACCCACGCTCCAGGGGATGAAAGGGCCAGCTAGAAAGGGCCCCAAATGTGAAAGGCTGTTCCAGGAAAACCTGGGGAAATATTCCTAACTTCTCTCACAATCAAACAAATGAAAATCAATACAACTGCACAATGCCATCTCCACCCTACACCCAGAAGAATCGAGAAAATGGAGCAAATGCTAGGTGTGTCGCCAGGTGTGCCGGTGGCCTCTGGGCCTGGGGCCGTGCAAGGAACTGGTGACCCCAGTGCAGGACACCTGAGAAGAGCATCCCTTCTCCCACGGGAGTGTCTGGAGTCCAGAGGGGTGAGTCCCCACTACAACAGCAGGAAACACGGGGATCAAATGCCCACCTCAAGGGAGGCATAGTCAGGCACTGTCCTTCCGCACAGCTAAGTGCCCGCAGCCTTTCCGGCTTGGAGCAAAGCTGTCTGCACTGCCCAGGTGACCGGGTCAGAAGCTGCTGCACAGCCCCATGTGGACGCCTATCCCTGGGTACAAGTTGGTTGTTGCTTTGTGGTGCTGGGGATCAAACTCAGGGGCACCCCACCTCTGAGCTACCTCGCTAGCCCTTTCTTTTTTTCTTTTTTGGTACCAGGGATTGAGCTCGGGTCCTTAGCTTGCGAGGCAGGCGGTAGAACCACTGAGCTAAATCCCCGGCCCTCGCTAGCCCTTTCTATTTCTGGTTTTGAGGCAGTTGCCGGCTGGCCTTGGCCTTGTAAGATTGCTGACACCACCACACGCCCAGCTGGCCGCAGCTGTTTAAAGCATAGGCTTACCTTCACAGGTACATGCATGAAGACCTGCATGGAAACTACACCGAAACCTGCTCAGTGGAGCCGCCTTTGGCCTGAGAACAGGTGGGGAAGAGTATTTGGATCTCATTTCGTACTCTTAAAATGTCATCAGGAAACATCTGGATGGAAGGGTTTGTGGTAAATTTGATTTCCTTCTTTACACTTTTCTCTATTAACAAGAACCAAAGTCAGTATCTTTAAATGTTTCAAAACAAACACGGACTCCTCCACCCTGGGGATAAAGTCCGCGCCCAGGCTGCTTTCCCTCCAGTCTCTCCGGCTCCTGGCCCAGAGCCCTGGGGCGCTGTAGCCCCATCAGCGGGGACTCACCCGCGCCTGCCTGCATCACTCCAGGCACCCAGCCCTCACCTGTCCCTGCCCGGCCAGCTCCTGGACCCAGGTCCCCCTCGGCCAGGCCGGCACCCCATGCGGTCGTCATGGCCTCTCCACTCCCGGGGAGCAGGACAGGCCGTGCAGAACCGTGCCGGGCCTGGCACACGTGGGCATCATGGGCCGAGAGCTGAGTGGAGCACGAGTTGGCCCAGGCCTCTCCCCACGTAGGCCCCAGACGCCGGCCGAGCCGGGCAGTTTGGAGGAGCAGACAGAGCTGCAGCCGCAGGGCTGTGCTCGACTCCAAGGTGGCTCCTATTTCCTCTTTTGTGGGTGCCAGGTCCCTGAACAAATATTTTCCTGGAGTGGAGGAACGGCGCGGCTCCCAGGCTTAAGTGCTGGAGGGGTGGCTGGGCAGGGCAGTTTCCAGGAACCAACTGAGGAGGAGCAGCTGCCGCCAGGCAGGGGTCACTTGGCTGCCCTGAGCGGTGCCGGCTGGCTGCGGGCAGCTGAGGCTGAGGCGGGCTGCTCACCCACCCGGGCCACGCCAGAGGCCGGGCCCTGTGGGACTCAGTGGGACGCCTTTGTGCTGGGCCTCTCTGCCTGTAAATTAGAATCTGCTGGGATCAGAGGCAAACGTGGGCCATGCGGGCCTCCCCTGTTTGTGCTGCAACGCCTGTGGTGGGGTTTAAACTAATTAGCATCTCAGAAGCCCTTTCGTCAGTGTGTTTTTCCCTTTAACTTTCCTGCTGCACAGCAACACATGGTAGGCTCCTCTGCTCCTCTACGGTACAGCTTGGTGGTTTGTTTGCATATGCATTCACCCTGGCGATCACCACGCACAGCGAGCCGCAGAGTGCTTCACAGGACTTCCTCTGTGCCCGGCCTGCCAATGCCACACCTGGGCCAGAGGTGCCATCGGCTCCCGAGGTCACCCGCCAGCTCTGTTGATGGCTGTTTCCCTGTCTGGGCCGTGGTTAGGGCCGCTGTGAACGCTCCTACAGGCACTTCCGGCAGACACGTGCTCCACTTCCCTTGGATCACAGAGGAGGTGAATGTGCAGCCACAGCCACACCATCTGCAAGCGCTCACTGGGTCGGCGCCCCACGGCCTGGCACGTCTGCCCCGGCCCGGAGTCTCGGTACCGGTACCGTACTGCCCTTCCCAATTCCAGCCTTTGGAGGGGGAGGAGGGTGCTGTCCGCTGCTCTTAGATTTCCAGGCGCCCTCGGACCCTCAAGGCAGGAAGGAGAGCGCTCAGACATCAGTGGCCCAGCTCGGCTGGGCTGGGGCTCATAACTCCGCCCCCAGGAGCAGCCAGAAGCCACATGGACAGAGGTCTGTGCTAAGGTGGCAGGAGGTGCCCGGTGACCCCGAAGTGAGGGGTACAGCATACCCACCCTGTACTCTCAGGGAGACAGCCCACACGGGTGGGTGTGACCCCCAGCAATGCAGGAGGTGGGGTGCCCCAGTGCTGGGGAGCTTGTGGCAAGCAGAGCTGCTCTCTGCCAGCTGGAGCGGGAGCTGGAGCGGGAGCTGGAGCTGGAGCGGGAGCGGGAGCGGGAGGGGGAGCGGGAGGGGGAGCGGGAGCGGGAGCTGGCCGGTCACGGTCTCTGGGCCCAGGGCAGCTCCCCGGGACTGTTCTCCCCGCTGGGGTCCCTTCCCACTCCTGGGAATCTGGCTGCAGGGACCAGCTGGCCCCACCCAAGGCCACCCAGCTCCTCTCTTCTGCCAGGGAGAAAGGGCTGGAGGGAGCCTTGGAGCAGGTGACGCCCTGGGGACCCGACCTGTGGGCAGAGGCCTTTCCCCCAGGAGCCCAGCACCCAAGTCAGGAGGGCCCGGAAGTCAGCAGCACAAGGCCTACTGTCCCTTCCCCTGGGAGCACCATGCCCCTCTCGGGCCCCTTCTCCCTCAGGCAGTGCCCCTGCGGGGAACCAAGGGTCGCTCAGCAAGGGTCCCATCTGGAAACCCTAAGCCGCCAAGTTCGAAACCAGGCCTGGCCCCACCTCACTGCTGCTGGACCTCGCTCCTGGACCTTGTCCCTGCCTCCTTCTGCCCCATCACCCGCTCTTGCTACAAGGCCTTGGGCTTCGAACACAGCGGCCTCTTCCCATACCTGCTGGCCTGACACAGCCAGTGGGGGTCCTGAGCCCCACCCTGGCCAAGGGGCGCCTTCCTTCTGTGAAGCCAACTTCACTTTGCCCTTCCAGACCCTGCTCAAGGGCCACGTTTGGCACCTCTGGCCCAGACAGTGAGCTGGGTTCGGGCTTCCCCTAGCCTCCCCCTGCCCCCTCCAGCCCATGGGAAAGGCTGTCAGCCCCACTATCGGGTCTGTCTGTCCCCAGGGGCCACACCGTCCCCAGAGCTGAGAGGAGAGGTCCAGTATCTTCATCGCGGGTGTGTCAGCATGTCCAAAGAGAAACCCCGGAGGCAGTGCAAACACACACCCAGCTGCAAATTCTGAATGTGACACAATCACTGGACCACTGGACGATGGCTCATTAGCTTAGAAAATGCTGTAATCCGAAAGGCTCCGTGGGCATTTGTGAGCCCTCATTCCTACGCAACGCGCAGACATGCACGTGCAGGTCCTGCTGCGGCCCCCGGTAAGGGGGTAAGAGGAAGGGGGGAAGTCGTGGGAAAGTGGGCCAGCCGGAAGTGCCGGGCAGAGCCTGCGGGACAGGGGACACGGCAGAGGGCAGGCAGAGGCCGCCTGGGACGGGGCTGTCCAGGAAAGCCCATCCGCAGCTCAGCTGCACAGAGAGCTGTCTGCTCTGAGCTGGATGGTGTCCGCTCAGAGGCCCGGGCGGGACCGCATGGGTCATGAGGGCCGCGCAGGTGTGGACAGGACAGAGCCATTCTATCTACGCGGATAGGAGTCGGATGCAGGGGACACAGGGGACTGGGGTTTTGGAACCTTGAGGCCCCATGTGGAAGGGACATTGATAAAATTAATAAGCACCTGGGCAGCCAAGCCTCTGTGGCTCACCGTCCAGGCCATGGTCTGCCAGAAAACGGGCACTGCCTTCCACATTTGTCGAATGACCAAATGACCCAGAGGACTCTGTCCTAGGCTCCTAATTCTCAGGAGCATGGTATTTTGGAGACTAGAATCGGCCACCCTGCCAAGCACCCGGAGTTGCAGTCCCTGCCCAGCAGCAGGTGCGGGAGCCAGGAAGGAACAGCTCCTCCTGCTCTGCACTGCCCAGAACACGCCTGGGACCCAGGGCATCCACGGCCAGCAAGCGGGTGGGCACCAGGCTGGACAAGGCTCATGCAGGCAGCTGGATCCCCAGAAACGGGGGCTCCCTCGGCGCCCTGCGTGCCAACCCATCTCTACTGTCCTTTGTGATGCTTGGAGGCTTTGAGCCAGGACTGTGGGCCATGTTTCAGTTAGGGTGGTCCAAGGAGCAAAGTGAAGACAGCGAACTCAGAGCCAGCAGGGGCTGCTCATGCTGAGGCAGGGGCCACTTAGTCAGAGCCTTAAGCAGCGGGCCTGGCTGGGGTGAGGGCAGGGATGGGCTCAGTCCTCCGCTGGAGGAGGGCTGGGTGCCAATCCCACTACTCCACATGGGGCCGTGCCCAGAGCAGCCTCCATGCCAGGGAGGAGGAGGGCAGGACTCGCCGGCCCAAAAGAGACTCCACAGCACACTTCTGCTGTCCACAAGGACAGGTATCGTTTATTGCAGTTACACGAGTGGGCCCGGCCAGGGGCGTGGGCAGCATCCCACCCTGGGCCACGTGCAGTCGGACACTTGGCAGAGTCCAGGATGAGCAGGGCACAGCTTCCCTCGCGGAGGCGCGTCTCGGAGCCTGGGACAGCTCACCTCCAGGAGCGGCCGACAGCAGCTGGAACATTGTCGAGTTAAATAAGGGAGGACAGGCTATCCCAGGGCCCGGGCCAGGCTCGGACCCCTGCAGGTGTTGGGGCCGGCCTCAGGTGTGAGGGCCATGTAGGCTGAGTGCAGCGACCCGCCCAAGACGCCTGGCCCCACACAGGCCCCGCAGGAGGATTTCGGGCAAGGCAAAACACAAACCCTAAACCAGAGGGACTCCGGACCAGAGCCCATCCCCTCGGGAGAGGGAGAGACAAGGCACAAAGCCTCTGGCAAGCTTTCCCAAGCCACCAGTGTTCGGAGAGGCTGCGCACGTCCACACAACAGCCTGGGGAGGGCGAGGCGGCAGAGCTCACAGGCCCCTTTACATTAGCGTTTGCTACCTTTGCACAGTCTACCGTACAGGGAAACCCACTGGATTAGGGAGAGTTTTGCTAACAGCAAAAGGCTATCGCTCTTTGGAAAACGTTCCTGACTCCGGCCCAGCAGCTGCTGCGGGAGCCCAATGAGAGCTTGGTTCTGGATGCAGGAGCCAGCTGCAGCTGTGCCCCTGACGCCTCCTGTCAGCTTCCAGGGAAAGTGTCCCTAGAGAGGAGCCCAAAGGCAGGCGAGTGCCTGGCCCCCCCGCCAGCCCACCCTAGGCCTCTCTCCTGCAGCCCCAGCCTGAGCGCTGGCGACCTGGCCCACCGCCGTGGACACAGGCAGGGCTGCCCAGAGGAGGCTGCGCAGTGCCTGGACTGGCCAGCGGCTGCTGGGCCGTCACGCAGACAGCCAGACCCTGCTGCACGTGTGCGTGACGAACTCAGAGACGACGCACAAAATACCCTGTGCTTGGCTCCGGGTTTGGTTCTCCTCGTTTAAAATAGAAACATAAACCGAGTCTTCTTAACCCTGATGCTCTCTCCTGACACAGGTTAGGTTAGCAAGACGGGGACCCCAAATCACCTGGCCCAACCTACCTGGGGAGCAATGGAGTCTACCTACGAAGGCCCTACGAGCAGAGAGCTAGAGGAAACAGGTGCAGAAACAAGGTGGCGCCTAGAACAGACCTCCCCACGGCGGAAGTGAATTCTGAGGCAGTCCCGGCCTACATCTGTACAGGAAGTGCTACGGGGCCGGCCGAGCGGCCCTCCCCAGGGTCTTCGGCCACAGTGGGCCCTCCAGGTCCAAAGCAGCGGGGTCCCCTTTTTCACCGAGGCTGTCTGGGAAGGGCCACTCCAGTTTGGAGAAACTGAGTCAGAATGGCAGGGCGCCAGGCGGGGCTGTGGTGGAAAGGCCGTGTGCGAGTGCGGGAAACCCCTTGCGCCCAAGTGGGCTCCAGGTGGAGATCAGAGAAGCAGAGTGGGCCCCCGGCACCCCCGGAACGGCGTAGCAGGGGCACCCAGAGGGCCATGCCGGGTGGCTGGTGGCAGGGAGGCCAGGCCTGCAGTTCTTCGTGAAGAGGCAAGTGGGGGCCTAGTGAGTGGCAGGGGCAGGGGAGGAGCGCCGGCCCTCAGGCATAGAACTCCTCCTGCTTGGTGGGCTTCTGGTAGGCGCCACCATTGGCTTGCTTGGGCTCCTCCAGGGAGTAGCTACCCTCGTCCTTCTTCTTCATCCGGTACAGCATGAAGCCCACCAGGCACACGGCAAAGACGAGCCCCACGACGCCTCCGGCGATGACCCCTGAGGCAGGCAGAGGCAGCTTAGCGCTGCGCTGCCTCCCTGCGCGGGCGGCACCCTCCCCTCGGCCCGGCTGGCCTCTCCTGCTCACCTCCCAGCACCTCCTTCCTGCCCAGGAGGCCCTGCGAGGCCCCCTGACCCACGGGGGGCTCACTCCGGTCATCCAGATCCACTGCGGCCACGGCCACGTTCTCCCCGGACGAGTCAAAGGTGAAGTCCTGGGTGGGGCACACGGGGCTGGGCTGGGGCCACCGCAGTCCCCTCCCTGAAGCGGCCCAGCCCGTCTGATCTCTGCTGCCTCCCTCCAGACCCCGGCTGGACCAGGGCCGACGTGAGCGACAGAGTGCACGCACTTGTGGAAGGGCGGCTGCTCTGGCCCTCTACTGAGTCCTTCCTGCGGTGGGGAAGCCAGGGCCTGTGCCCACAGCATGGCGGGCACAATGTGCTCACAGGACACGGGGCGCTGAGGGGCCACCCGGGTCCACCGAGGCTGCTCACCTGCTCGCCAGAGCCCTCTCCGGCCGGCAGCTGGCTGGGGGCTCCGTCCTCGGTGCTCTCGGTGGCGGAAGGGCCTGCACCCTCCGCGCTGGGAGCAAGGCCGTCAGGCTGGCCTGACGCTGCAGGAGCTGTGCCCTCGGCGAGGCCGGGGTGCACATCCCTGGGGGCGTGGGGGGAGGTGGGCGCCTGGGCCCTCTGGGTGCCGGGGAGCTGTGTGGGCTCCCTGGGCTTGGGCTCCCCCCCCTCCTCCCGGGCGGTGAGGTCGGGCCTGGCCCCCATGGGCACGGCCGCCTCTCCCTCCTCCTGCCTCTCTCCAGCCGGCAGGACGGGGGTGGAGCTGGCTGTAGCCTCCCTGCCGCCAGGCTCCGGCACCGTGGGCATGACGGACAGCAGCCACGTGTCCTTCCCGGTGGCGGGGGCCTGCGGGGACGCGGCGATGTCCTGCAAAGCACCTGAAGCAGGCCAGTGCCAGAGTCAGGCCGGCCAGGCTCAGCCTGGGGCTCCGTCTGCCCAGCCAGTGAGGACGGCCCTGCCTCTGCCTCCCGAGAGGCCGCATCCCGAGCAACTGACTCCGCTTGGAACACAGAAGAGAGCGGTCCTCCCACCACGGCTGCCCGGGACAGCGCCAGGGCCACCTGGGAAGGAGCTTCCCCATGACCTCGGCAGGGCACAGGCCCCGCCTGCCCTCTCTGGCTCGCTCCTGCCACCCCATGCCTCAGTCTCCTCTCTGAGCTCCTGTCCTCTCCTGGGTCAGCTCCCACCCAGGGACTTGCCTCCTCCAGGGCACAGGGAGCACAGGCAGGGAAGAGGGGGAATCTACACCAGCAGGCTCTGTGCTGCCTCCACTCTCACCTACGGGCTGGGGTTTTAGCCCCACTTTACAGGTGTAGCCAAGCACGCCTGTGATTCCAGCACTCAGGAGGCTGAGGCACGAGGATCACATGAGTTCAAGGCAGCGTGGGCTACACAGTGAATTCAAGGCCACCTGCACTCCATAACAAGACCCGTCTCAAAACAAACAAGAAACCCCAGATGGAAACATGGAGGCTCAGCCCTCCCAAGGTGGGTTCCAAAGGCGGCCGGGTGGGCGGGGAGGGGAGGTATGCCCGGGCCTGCGCTTCTTGCTAGAGTGTTCTCACCAAGGCAGCAGCTGCGGCACGGGCCCCACGCCCTCCCTCAGGGCCGCCCCCGGACCCTGAGACCACCTGACCCAGCGCTGGCCGCCGCTGCCCGCTGCTGTTCTAGGAGCCGTTTCAGCCTCACCTGCGCCTGAGCCCGAGAAGGTGTCAGAGTCGTCCCCGGAGCCGTCCTGGTCCTCGGGAGGCAGGTTTGTGGCCACCACTTGCTGCAAAGGATGAGAGCAGGCATGAGCCAGAGCCTGTCCTGCACAAACAAGGGCACAGCGCAGGGCACCCTCGCACCGGGCCCCTCCGCTCTGCGAGGCCCCACGTCCGCCCGCACCCTGAAGTCTTACGACAGCCCACACAGGGCCGCCCCCGCCGTGAGGACGCACTCGGTCGGTCAGGGGCCCCCACCTCTCAGAGGAGGAGGCACTCGGGCTGCTACTGGAACAGCAGCCCTCTGCCGAGAGTCAGCCTTGGGGCCCGGAGAAGCAGCCTCCAGCTGTGCCAGACACGGCCGGGGTCCCAGAGGCTGCAGGCCAGCACAGCTGCAGGCGTGAGCGGCACTGGGGCAGCCCCAGGCCCACTTCCTCGGCCCCAGCAAGGACGTGGGGGGAAGGGCAGAGCACCCATCGGGCAGGGCACAGCCGGGGCCACGCTAGGCTCTGCAGAGGCTCCAGGAAGGGGGCTGGGCTGTGGGCTGCCCATCCCACCCGCCCGGCTCAGAGAGGCCCCAGGTCGTGAAGCTGGGCCAACCTGCAGCACCGTGGACAGGCGCCCAGAGGAGGAAGAGCAGGGTGGAGGGGCCCACTGGGCATCAGGGGAGCAGCGAGGGAGGAAGAACCCAGCAGCCAGGGCAAGGGTGGGGCAGCTGAGATCCTGCTCCACAGTGAGACTTCAGCCCCGCCAACCCTGCCTGCCACAGGGCGCAGCTCACCGGCCCGAAGGGAACAAAACAGAGCGAGTAAAGAACAGAGCAGTGTGGTGCAACACGGGGCTTGAGGGAGCCCTGACTTCTGCCGCCTCCCAGGCAAGGGGCCCTAGGGCGTCATCAGCCCTCTTAAGGCCTCAGTCTCCGCACCTGCAAATGGGCTCCATTAGCACATCTGCGTGGCAGGACCGCTGCTGCCTTCTAGGAAGCAGGCCACCTCGGAGGTGGGCCAAGGGGCCGCCCTGGGCCTGGCCACAGGGCACAGCCTCCCTGCAGGGCAGCAGCGGGGGACTGACACAGGACTTCTGCGGCAGACTCGGACCAGGCAGGTCTACGACCAGGAGCCCCTGCCAGGCACACTTCAGCCAAGAGCGGAACCCTTGAGGCTAGAAACAACCCTCAAGTTCCCAGGAGTACCAGAGCCAACCGTGCCTTCCTCCCGGCCTTCCCTGGCCCATCCACAGTCCACTGTGGCCCACACACAAGGCAAGTCGCCCCCTCATCCACGTCAGGCCATATCTGTCTGCACCACCCAGATGGGCCTCAAATACCTGTGACAGCTCCCCCAGGCAAAGGCGCAGCCCGGGGACCCCAGCTTTACCCTGCCCAGCCCCTCCCCTGGCAAGAGAGCTCCTGGCGGGCAGGAGATCTGGCCTCTGACCCGACCAGGCCAAACCGACTGCAAAGAGCGCGGAGGCCAGAGAGCTGGCGGCCCCTGCTCAGCAGCAGAAGCAGCCAGGCCGCGATGGCACAGCCAGAGCTTGGTCGGACCTGGACCTGAAGCCCAGGACACCTGAGGCTGGCCTCTCACCTACCCGGAGAAGCCCCAACAGGTTAAGCTGCCCGGGCCCTAGAAACCAACTGTCGCCTCAGCTCTTGGCTTATCTCTGTGTGATCTTGTTTACACAACAAGCTTAGGCCAACATCTACCCCCCCAAACTGGCAGACCAGCTCCCTGGCCTGGGGGAGCTAGTCTCCCGCCCAGTCTCCAGAAGCAGAGGGGCTCTCTGAACCCCCAGCGCCTCTGGCTGGGACCTTGCACAATAGCATCTCAGGAGGAAAAGGGGATTTCAGTCCTGGGGAAGGAATTAGCAAAAACTACCAAGTTCAAACTTGAATTAGTGAGGTGCCCACCGACTCTGGAGTCTGGCGTGTGACTTCCGGTTTCCTGTAGCAGGCTCCCTGCACTCCCTGCCTGTGGCAAACTGCTCCCCAGGGTCACCTCTGACCTGGATCCTTCCCGAGTGCTTGGCCACTGCCCAGGGCAGAACAGACATCCAACCTGTACCTGGAAGGCCCGCCCCGGAAGAGCAGCTGACCAGAACAAATCAAACACCTCGTGATAAGGTCTTGACTCTCCTGGCTTCTCTTGGCTTCCGTCCTCCAAAGCAAGGGCCGATCTGCTCCCTCCCCACCCATAGCACAGACCCTAGAAGCTCAATGATTTGAAAACCCAAAGCCAGAAGGTCAGCTCTCCCGGGGCTGGGGCATCAAGGGGCAGACCAGGCGAGTCTGGGTGACCAGGAGTAACAACCATCGCTGTCTACCTGCGTGGAGGACTCTGAAGAGAGGCCCAGTGGGAGAGTGGATCGAGGCCAGGGGGCTTCCCCCACCCTCCACCCTTTGGTTCCTACCACCACAGCAGCAGGCTGAGATTAGCATCTCTGACAGAGGAGGGACACAGAGGAGGGACGGCCGGACCCCTGTGCACTCCCCTGGCCGCCTCCTCCCAGTGCCGGCCGGCCGTAGCGTGGTTCCACCTCTGTGGCTGAACTCGCCCATTTTAAGGAAAGTTTGCTTAACACTTTTCAGTGTGGCCACAGGCTTCAGGAGTAAAGGGATGAGAGCTTCCCGAACAGGAACCCCTGAGCCCCACCCCGTAGCTGAAGCACCCCGTGCCCGCCCGCCCTTTTGAGGGGCAGAGGAAATGCCATGGGCCAAAGCAGGGTCGGGGAGGGAAATTCTTCATCCTGCTTCCATCACACCCAAGGGCGCATCTGGAATCTGGGCAGGGGGCTGGCGGGGAAGCTTCTGGAAGGCAGCTCCAGCGTCACCCTGGCCGGAGGAGGCCCTGCTCGGCGGGTCAGTGAGCGAACCCCTCGCCCGGGCGCCAGGGCTGCAGCACGGGCTTCCCCGGGGCATCTGTGGGCAGGCGAGTGCCTCAGCTGCCGCACGCCAGGGTGTCAGGCAGGTGTCCCCAAGAAGTTCAACTGAGTGGCAGGCACTGGTGCTGACCAGGGGGTGCCCACCTGTCCTCACCCTTCACCCCATGGCACCAAGTCCAACCAGCACCCCAAGCGTGAGCACATCGCCTGCTGCTTGTAGAGTGATGAGTAAGACAGCGCGCCCCGGCAAAGCCTTAGGGACATCAGGGGATCGTGTGCTCTTTAACCAACGTGTTCCAAATGTAAGGAAGTCACAGAATCTTGACATATAGTGGGGTGCTCAACTTCAAAAACCTGGGACCATCATGCAGGGGTGCTGGGGAGAAAACAGGGTACGAAACCATCTGGCTTTGGCCCCAGCCGAGCTCCCAGCCCCTGGGTGCCCATCCAGGGGCTTAGGAAGGGGAGCTGTAGAGCCACCTTAAGGAGGGCACTGGGCTGGACCTTGAAGGCCCCAGCCAGACCCAGGAGTGGGTTAGGCGATGCCACCCAAGGCACCCACGTGAGCACCCCTGGGAAACTGCACTGCGGAGCGGGAAGGGAGGCAAGCCTTGGGCTGCTGTGCTGTCCTGGGCAGTGACAGCCCTGGCCTCTGTGGGTCGGAGCCGAGTCACTGAATCAACAAGTCCCATTAGTCACAAAATCGGGGACAAAGAGCGGCCTTTATCAACAGAGCCAGGGCCAAAGCCTTTCCTAAGCGGCCGGGATCCTGGGCTGGGCTCTGGCTCTGGGCTGGTGGTCAGGAGGCTCCCGGCTTGGTCCAGGAGCCCCGGCTTTGGAGTCCAAGGGCAGAGGGCCCTGAGGTCAGCCCAGGATAAACACCCATTGCTCCCAGTCTACTGAATTCCACACCACAGCAAGCAAACTGGAAGGATTAAACATATTCACAGTGCTTAGAAATCAGTTTCTTTGGGGCTTTTGTTTGGTTTTGTTTGCAGTACTAGGGATTTAACCCAGTGCCCTTTACTCTGACCTACAGCCCCCACCCATTTTTATATATTTTTTCTTATTTCCAGAGAGGATCGGCTAAAATGCTGGGACTGGGCTTGACCTTGGGACACTCCTTCCCCAGCCTCTGAGAGGGCTGCCTTACAGCCACCGCCACGCCGGCCGTTTCTCGATCAGATCTGAGGAGCTAAGAGATGCAGGCTGACTCCCCTGTCCGGACTTCATGACTGACTCGGGGCCTGAGGCCTCCAAGCTGCAGAACCCTGGGCCCCACCTCTCTGCCCCAGCGCTCCTGCAAAGACCATAAGCGGCCTACGTCCAGCGTTCCGGGAGCGCACCTCAGGCTGACCCTGCCCACAGGGGTCCAAAGGCTGCACTCTGAGAACAGTGGTCTAGAGAGCAAAGGCCTCACCAGGACCAAGGCCAGGGTCCAGGACGCAAGGTAGCCAGGCCCGGCCCCCAAGCCAGAGCCGCCAATGCCTGGGGCCATGACCCCGTAAGGTGCGCATCATCCTCTCTGCACCTCCAGCATGCTCACTCGCAACCACAACCCCGCAACTGGCCCAGCTCCAGACCCAGGAGCTGAGGGACTTCCACAGGCCCGCCCCCGGGGGGATGCACGACCTGTCTGTGCCCACGCCCCTTCCTGGCCAGGCTGAGCCAGGACACCCCGGCTGCCCAGCCCAGCACTGCCCCCTCGGTGGCTCTGACAGTGACCCCACTGCCCAGGCTGGGGCACCCCGACACCATCTCCAGTCTCCTGGAAATCTCCCCACCCCAGAGGGCAGGCCCTGGGGCTCCTCCAGCACTTCCGGTAGCAGGCACGGTGATTTATCGGCTCACTGCTCCACCTCATCGAGCTGGGACCTGCCCTGCCGAGGGAAGGGCGCGCAACAGCCTTGCTGGAGAGCACTCCCAAGACACCCAGGACTCCACAGGCCCGAGCTCCGCGATCCCTACCCTGCCGTTCTGGGGACCCAGGCGGTACCCCAGAGGCCGGGTGGCCCGGAGCTCTGGCTTGGTTTTAGCAGCCTTCCCCTTTTGTGGCTCCAGACAGGCAGCCAGGCTCTTCCCCCTCGTCTGTTCTCGGGGGGCTGGGGTGTCTTCGGGGAGCGGACCCCAGCCCACCCAGCTCCCAGGCCCAGCCTCCACTCCCGGCCCGTGGAGCTGGCGCCTACCTGGTGGCCTGCGTGCAAAGACTCGTCTCAGACTCCTCCGCTGCTGCACCCCACTTGCCCAGACACAGCCCGGCCGAGGAGCTCACGATGGCCCTGGGAGAGTCAAGGCCGCCAGGCCCACGGCCAGCGCCTCCGCCTTGGCGCTGCTCCCGGGAGGCAGCCAGGACCCGGGCGCTGACCACCACGGGGCGGCCCAGGGCCATGATTGGACCTGGGCTCTGCTGCGCAGTGCCAGTGACTGTGGACATCCCTGCTCAGGCTGTCACCATACAGTGGGGCTTTGGCCAAACAGTAGCAGAGGCTCCGTGCCTCTACACCCTGGGGCACTCAGGCTGGGCAGCCAGACACAGGGGCCACAGCGGGGACCAGTCAGCAGCACGGGGCCACGGTGGGGAAGGGGCCTGCCCACCACCTTGCTGTCGCCCCCCTCAGCATCCAGGGGCAGGCTGGGGCTCCTCCCTGCCCGGCTGTCTCCCTGGGTCCGCAGTGTCAGCCCCTCCATCGGAGCCCCCAGACTCTGCCGGCTGTAGGAGCTGATGTCCTCCCACGCCACAGCCAAAGAGAGTACCCTCGAGTCTCCCAGAGGCAGGAACTACAGCTTTTGACACAGCTGCAGCCAGCCAGGACTCCAGCCGGCTGCAGGGCAGGGGGCCATACTCCAGCTGTCAGCAGAGCCTGGCCCCAAGTTACACCAAGTCCCTCTGGACACAGAATGCTCCTGGGGCTGATTCTGGAACTGGGACACTGGGGCGGGGTGGGCGTAGAGAAGGGCAGGAAAGGGCTACAAACAGGAGGCTGAAGACACCAAGAGCAGATTTCTTAACTTTTGTCAGACTGGATGCCAACAACACCCTACCCAGGAAAGAGACTAAATTCCCTTTGCTCTCCCTTTGAGCCTCGGTGCCTGTGGCTCTCATCCCACGTACAGAACACTGGGCAGGTCCTGCAACGCGCCTCGTAGCTGCAGCACAGCTGGGCCTAGGGCACAGCACCCCTGGGGTCCCGTGGCAGCCAGCCTGGCCCTTTCATGGACAGCTCGCCCTTCTCCAACAGGGTGGGAGATCTGCATGGGCTTCCACGCCCAGGGCAAGCTCCGGGCCCAGCCTTAGCAACTCAGTGAGCCAGCAAAGGCGAGCAGCTGTGACACCTGGTCAGGACTCGGGGCAGGAGAAGAACCTAAGGACCTGACCTGGGCTGGGGCTGCAGTAAAGAACAGGACCGGCACATTAGGCCTTGAAAGACAAAGAACAGAAAACCATGGCCGCAGCTGGTGCTGCTGGAGGGAGGGCCAGGTGCTTGCGGAAGCTTCCGTGCATTACTCAGCCTTCTCCATGCCGACTGCACCACGCCCGGCTTACAGATGAGAGCACTAGCAGAGGGCAGTCCTCACTAAGGGGAGGCCGTTCACAGCCTTGCTCTAGCTGCCACGGGCTCGGGACTCTCAGAGGAGCTCTGCTGCAGTCACTGATGTGGCACGGGGAAGGGCCGCCCGCACCACGGCCTGGCATCCCAGAGACCCCACTCCTCCTGGGGCTTCCTCCTCAGCCGCTGGGCCCACTGCAGCACCCCAGTGTGTGGGGCAGCCCAGCCAGCCCGGGCAGAGCCCAGGGAGAGACCAAAGTCTGCAGCCAGCTCAGGTTTCCAGGAAGAGACAAAGTGGTGTTTGCAGACCCTGTGTGTCAGTGCCACGGGGCCAGGCCCAGCTGGCCAGGGACAGAGGGGCTGCAGCCAGGTCCCCACAGCGGCCCTGCCTCTGCTCCCCCAGACTGGGGAAGGCAAGGGCCCCCAGTGAGGCCACACGAGTTACTCCATTAAAGCTCAGCAGCGCTCAGGCAGGACAGAGGGCCCCATCTTACAGAGGGGGAAACGGAGGCACGGGAGGAGGCAAAGCGCCATGCCCACGACGTACAGAAACAAGGTCGGCAGGGAAGAGCCCCACCCAGCCTTCTCTCTGCCCCAGCCCAGGTCTGGGGTCCCTCCTCCCCCACCTCAAGGCTGCAGGACCCCAGAGTGTGCCCCCAAAAGTGGGCAGACCTAGGCATGCAGGTCCCAGCGGC